ATTGTAGGTGAGCAAAATGGTCTGTCGCATCCTGCTGGAGAATGGCCCTGGAAGTTGTGTACAAGGGGGGTCTTTCTGTTTTCCTGACCTTGTCTCCTCCCCATGTTGGTTTTATTATGGGAGGGGAGGGGCCAGTCCAACCCAGTATTACTAGTGGGTGGACCGTGTGAAAGCCTGGAGTTCAGATCTCCTACTAAAGCCCCGAGGAAAGTTCTGCCAGGGTTGGGACTCTGGTATGGAACCTACCTGGTTACTGAGGTGCATGCAGAGGGCAGTTAGATTTTGTTTCCGCTGAAGTGAATGGGCACGGATGGGCATTGGCCACCAGAGTGGAGAACCACTGCTGGAGAGGCCAACAATTGTGGAAGGTGAGTGTATAAGCCTAGCAAAAGCTGGCAGGAGGAAGAGTGGAATTGTGCCTGAGGCACATAAAGCAAGGGGAAACAAATAATTTCTTACCCAGCAGATAACAAAGGCTGCTGTGACTAGCACTCCGTAGAAAGCCAGAACTCCAAGAGTCACCACTATAGGCCAAAAGGGTCTTGCGGGTTGAAATTCTGGTGGTGGGTGAAGCATCTCTTAAAGAAACAGAACATATTTCAGAGAACAGAGAAAACTAAGCAATAGCCTTAATCTCCACAAATTGACTCCTCGTTCCCATACTCTTCTGTAACTTCTATGTCCATCAGAGGGTAGTAGCAGGTTGCTAGACCCACTATTTGGGGGAAGAAGAATTTTGCCTTTCACTGAGTGATAGTCATTATGTACCTGACAGGAATGCTATGAGTTCTAGAATCAAGGTGCACATGTACGGAAAATAATATCAGACAATTATGATTTTGTGTCTTACCTCTCACATGGATGACAGTCCCGCTGCTCTTGTCATTGTAGATGTACGGTGGTGGAAACATGACTTCAATTTTGCAGAAGTAAATATCGGTTTGGTTGGTATTCAGGTTGCAAAGACTAAAATTCACTTGCTTTTTATTGCTATCAACAGCAACAAGGCAGTTGAACTTTTCATTGGAATGATTTTTGTGGAAGGAATCATTCCAAGAAAGAGAACAGACTTCAACCGCTCTGTCTGCTCCTTTATTCAGTGATGCTCTGAATTCGTTCCCAGTTCCATTATAGGTATATTTGCAGGCCAAAGTAACATTTTCATTATATGTTATGATGAGAGGGTGCTGTTCCACTGAAATCTTGTTTTCTGGGAGGGAGGATGGAAAAAAACACTCATTTATAAAATGCATTATATGATATTTTTAAAAATTACATGTTCTGCTGGTGCAATTGCTCAACATACCTGTACCCACTGAGAGTGTGTATCTACCAATCCATTCTGAGTTGGATTGCAAGTGTGACATTTAGCACTGAAGCTCTAACTTCTGTCCCAGTTATAGGCACACCAATGTCTATTCCTTTGTATAGTGTCCTAGTGGACAGCACTATTTTGAAATATCATGTATTTAACATCTGGCTCACCAATCAATAAAAAAAGGGATCATCTTTACACATATACCTTAGATTCCAAAAACAACCTCACTAAAAGACAAATAATGTGATGGCTTAACTCAGAGCTACTCAACTTTGGAAGCCCTGGGGGCCACAGTGATACTCACATGCCGAGGGCTGCAACTTAAGTATGGTTGCATATACAAATAGCGTCTTTCACATTGAGGGGCATGAATACAAAGATTAAGGTAAGACTACATAACATGCAGGCCCCATTTAAGTCAGCTTTGCTAATATTAATAAAATGCAATATTTACCCGATTTCCACCCATGTGACAGCACTTTTAATGAGCAATGACAGTCCAGGAATTTAACTACTAAAACGCATCTCAACAGAAGACCGTTATATTGACTACTTTTTTGTTTTGGCTTTCACCCATGAGCCATGTGTTGAGCCCCATGTAATCCCAAACTGCACTGCAGGCCGTAAACAAACAGGCCACAGGCTGCATGTGGCACACGGGCTGCATGTTGAGTAGCCCTGGTTTAACTGACCCTAGAATTTGGCCCTAGCTAATTGCTGTAATAGCTTTTTAACCTCTTACGCCATAAGATGGGAATGATGACTTAATTCTACGGCATTTAGCATTTTTATGGCCCAAAGATACACTTCCTATAAAGGCAGAACCCTGCTTTATCTGACTGGTCTGACATAAAAAGGAGGTGCCCCTTGTATCAGTGGGGTCTCTCCGTACTACTATGTGCCAAAAGTTGTTGACTCGCTGAAGTGGACTGCACCGATGGCAGCTTATTTAAGAGGAATAGTCCTTAAGTGAGACATTACTCTCTTTTGGAGAAGCTGAGAAAAGAGGGTATGTCTACACTACAAAGTTAATTCGAACTAACCGACGTTAGTTCGAATTAACTTTGATAGGCGCTACACAGGCAAACCGCTAGTTGGAACTTAATTGGAACTAGCGGTGCTCTTAATTCGAACTAGGTAAACCTCATTCCACGAGGACTAACTCCTAGTTCGAATTAAGTAGTTCGAATTAAGGGGTGTGTAGCCACTTAATTCGAACTAGTGGGAGGCTAGCCCTCCCCAGCTTGCCCTGGTGGCCACTCTGGGCACCACCAGGGAAACTCTTCTGCCCCCCTCCCGGCCCCGGAGCCCTTAAAGGGGCACAGTCTGGCTATGGTGCCCGTGCCAGGTGCAAGCCTGCCAGCACCCAGCCATCATACCCTACACCTGGCACGGCACGAGCCAGCCACCCAGCCCTCCTCCTCTTCCCGGGACCAGGCTGGCAGCTCCCAGGAGCCTGCCCGGGGCTGCAAGAGGCAGGCGTCCGCCTGGTCTAGTGCGGAGATCGTGGACCTCATCCATGACCTCCGAACTAAGCACAGGAAAGTGGCTGTCTAGGGCAGGAGAGCTGCCAGGCTGGCCACCCAGGAGCAGGTTTGCATGAAAATCAAGGTGGTCCAGTGAGACCCCCGACCCTGAGCCCTGAGCTTAGAACGGCCGTACTGGGTCAGACCAAAGGTCCATCTAGCCCAGTAGCCTGTCTGTCGACAGCGGCCAACTCCAGCTACCCCAGAGGGGATGGACTGAAGACAACGACCAAGCCATTTGTCTTGTGCCATCCATCTCTAGCCTTCCAAAACAGAGGCCAGGGACACCATTTCTACCCCCTGGCTAATACCACTCCATGGACCCAGCCTCCATGACCTTATCTAACTTCTCTTTAAACTATGTTCTAGTTCTAGCCTTCACAGCCTCCTGCAGCAAGGAGTTCCACAGGTTGACTATTTGCTTTGTGAAGAAGAACTTTCGCTTATTAGTTTGAAGCCTGCTACCCATTCATTTCATTTGGTGTCTTCTAGTCCTTCTATAATGGGAACTAATGAAGAACTTTTCTTTATGCACCCTCTCCACACCACTCGTGCTTTTAGAGACCTCTATCATATCCCCCCTCAGTCTCCTCTTTTCTAAGCTGAAAAGTCCCAGTCTCTTTACGCTCTCTTCATATGGGACCTGTTCCAAACCCCTGATCATTTTAGTTGCCCTCCCCTCTCCCACCCTCTCTCTTCCCCCTCCCACCTCCTTTTCCCAGTCTCCCCGAGTTTTGTTCAATAAAGAGAGCTTCTATTTTTGAACACACGTGTCCGAATGGGGTACGAGCCCCCGATGGGGAGGACTGGGGTGGCTCTGCGGGCTCTTTAGGGTGGAAGCTCTCCTGCAGCCTCCTGATTGACCCCCCCTCTCGGATGGCAGACTGTGGCAAGTGCAGCCGGGCTGATGGCCGAGTGCTGTGATGTGCTGAGTGTGGGCATTCAGGGCACTCCAAGCCAGGACTGCTTTGCTGTCCCTCATCGAGTTAGACAAGTGAGCGGGGAACCCCGAGAACTGTCTGTCCAGGGTGGGGCCCTTTAAGCACAGCCCTCGGCTAGCTTGAGGCAGCAGCTACGTGCTCTAAATCCTAATCTGATGCCCTGCCGGCACTGCTTCCGGCCAGCCTTAACCTCAGTTCAGGGTCCACTCAATGTGGACATGCTAGTTCGAATTAGCAAAACACTAATTCCAACTAGTTTTTAGGTCTAGATGCACTATTTCGAATTAGCTTAGTTCGAATTAACTAATTTGAATTAAGTTAGTTCAAATTAGTGCTGTAGTATATACATACCCTGAGGGAAAAATTCTCACCAGTGGCAAAACTTCCATGAGGACCCAAACAAGCGCTTTGTGCTGGTCTTTTCCATTGGGATAAAATTATCTAGGCCTTTGTGGACTCTAATTAGCCTAGCCATGGACAAATGTAACCCACACACCTATTGGGTGTGGTTCACTGTCCCAGGTAATGGCACTGAGACCACTTACAGAGAGAGAGAAGGAGTTTGATCTCCAGCCTTAGCTAAGAGCCTGCTGGATTTTTTTCAGAGGTCCCAGGTGCAGTTCCACCTGTCAGCGTCACACAGAGTCACAGGCCATGCTGAGGTGGATATTGTTTCTGCCCTGGCTTATTTCCCCCTCAAATATTCTGCTTCAAAACTCACTATCCTTGAAAGTGCAACAGGAGGCATGGAACGGGGCAAAGGTCCTATCTGAGGGTAGTGGGAATCCAGACGACACTGCCCCCACTCTTCAGCTGAGTGATTGGAAGAACAGAAATGGGTGGAGCTTCCATCATCAGGCACCAGTGGCTTATCGAAGAAGGTGTGCAGGCACTGCTTACTGGCCTAACAGACACTGGAAAGGACCTGACAGTGGGGAGGGAGAGCAAACATGGAGAACTTGGACAGGAGGGAAACACATGAAGAATCTGGGAAAGGAAGGAGCATTTTGGCCAGGAACTGATCTAGGGAGTGGGCAACAGAGACAACCCACCAGCTGTAGCCTTGAACAACCATAAGAGGAGAGCATCCCTAAAGTCGGCATTAGTTCTTCAATTGCCAACTTAGCTCGCTCCTGCAGAAGCTGGCCACTCTCACATAATAGGAGGGACTTGCTAGCCTCTGGCTCTTTTTGTTCTCTGGGGAAGGAGAAAGAGCAGGCACTGCCTTCTGCTCTGCAGAGCCCTCTCTCTAGCAAGGGGAGACTGCTAGGGAGAGGAAGAGTCTAGTCACGTCTCCTGAGGCCTCTTGCTTCAGCTTGACTAGCGCTGTGTGCGGGGGCGACAAACCTGTATCTATTGCCACCAACCCTGCCTGCTTTCCTGTGGTTGCAAAACCCCGGAGGCCCTGCTCCAAGCAGAGTGAGAAACTAACTCAGTCCCCTCGCCCTGGCAGAAAGTGGTCCTGATTTTGGGTTCCATGCCATTGTGCCAGGACAGCTCTTTAGCTGCTTAAGGCCTTTGCCAATATTAGAGGGAAAAGCTGCTCCATGTGTTGGCCTGCTTTTGGCACGTGATAGCTAACCCATTTTAATTAAGCGTTGTTTTAAAATGTGTTCGCACTGGTTGTAGCTGGGATTTAATGCCCTTTCCAAACATAGTAGCTGGGTGTGGTTCCACCTAGCAAGAAAATCAGTACAGGAGTGTGCAAGATACCAGCAGAATTGTTTAATACTTATCATGTTTGGGGCCTACAAGTCCTACTCAGGGCTTTTCAATAACTTGAGAATGAGGAATTGTGGCTAAAATTTGTTCATATTCGTAGCAAAATTGTGATAGTGCCTAGAGGCCAGACCCACTTGTGCTCAGTGCTGTACACGTGTATGACAAAGAGCTGGTCGTCACCCCAATCTCTATATCCTTAATCAGAAACTTCCAAAAAGCATTAGCAGATTAGAGAAACACCTGCCATGCTTCCATAACCAACTCTGAAGAAAAGCCAGTTTCATTTGTTCTTCCCTATTTAAGGGCAAAGGGCACCCCTCTGAGATTTCAGCACTGAGACAACCCCTTCAAGGTAGTGTTTAGACTCCTCTAGTTAGTCCAGTAACCTCCCAGGCAGCTTTGCTGCCCTAGACTGATTTCTAATCTCAAATGTGCGTTAAGTAACACCAAATACCTTGAACTCTCCTATTCAACTGCAGTCTCGGTTAATTTTTGCACCCACAGCAATGTGTCACTGACAATAGGAGATTAAAATCTAGTGGCCTTTCCACCCAAAACATGTTCCTTGGAGTTCTTTCCTGCTTTCTTGGCCTTGCAGCCAAATCTGTCACCCTTCCAGTGCAGACGAGGTGTTAGCATACGTTCTTGTTCTTTGTTAACCGAGTATATGGAATATAGGACTCCATCATAGTGTGAGTAAAGTGTATTTTGTGGGTGAGTGGAGGAGGATTGTTTATAAATGTTTTGTTTAAGCTGAGAACCAGGGTTAGCTTTGTAAGATAGCCCCACTATATTAAATCACACCATCACCAGGACAGACTGAGCTGTTTTGTTTTTTGTTATGTGGAACAAATTATTGCTCCTGAAAGCTAGGTGCATTGAGGGATGCAAAATGTAAGCAAACACTGTGTGACCTCAGCCGAAAACACCCAAGTCCTGGCCTGCAGCAAGGCTTGTTATTCCTCTCTTGTGGTTCTCTCTGTTGGAGAAAATCAGTCATGCCAAAATGTGTATTCAGTCCACAAGAGAATACAATTAAGCCATCAATCACTCAGGTCACCTCTGACCTATCTTGCATTCATGAAAACACTGTTCTTGGAAATGTCACTTTGGCTTTGTTAAAATGGTGACACTTTGAAACATGTAGTAGGTGTTTCCATTTGTGTACAGTTTCCCATAAATATGGTGATCATTGCTTTTTCCAAAGGTTGTGTTCGGTGTAAATGCTACATAATAACAAACACTGATACAGAGCCATGACTGCACCTTGCCTTAAGCAGCCCAGAAAGCAACAATTATGAAAAATCACTATCTACAATTTCCTAAAAGTCTTAAAATCGGGGGTAGAATCATTTCAGTCAGTGGGACCAGTCTCTTTAGCAAGTAGAGTGCAAGTTTAAGTGTTTGCAGGATCAAGGCCTGTGGTTTTATAAGCAACTGTTGCATTTAGTGTTTGTAAGATCTCCTTGTCATAAAGTGCTTCATACCATAGTCTTCATATTACATTTATATTATACTAGAACTTAGGACTTTTCATCACAAAAAAAAATCTTAACCATACTTAATAACCGTAAAACTCCACCGTTCTGATCTCATACACTCTATGCTAGAAAAACTCCTTTGAAGTCACTGTGGCCCAGGAAGAGAAATGGAGAAAAACGTAAAAGCATGGAAGAATTGTTTTTCCCAAAATTTCCATGCATTGCCAGCAAGTGATTCATAATATCCTATCTTGAATTGATAGCCTAAAGAAGAAGATAATTCTATTGTCTCTCCCCTCTTCCCCCTCCCACCCCCCCGGTGAAATTGGAAACTATAGTTGCTTTGCCTTTGTTAGGAATATGGGACGAGGTTTTAAGCAGCTAAATCATTGTTCTACATAAACATAAAGGGAAAAAAAGCTCATTTGAACTCCTTGGTAAGGGAAGAAACTGAAGAGTGCTAAAAAAAAAAATCTATAAACAAGAAAAAAAAACCCACAGGTATGGTACAAGCAAGACAATTCTGACCGAAGGCTAACGATTTGTGCTGTTCAGCTACTTCCAGTCTTTTCCAAGATGCTCAGAAGGGTCTTTTCTCCATCACATTTGTGTTTTATTGGCAGATTCAACCAGCTGTCTATGATATGCAGCTTCTCCTGGAGTGAAATATCCTACTCTGAATCATTTCTCCTGATCATGAGAGACTCATGCCCTTGCTAATCTCTCCTTCCTTGTAGTAGGTCTGTATGAAGAAAGGTAATAAATGCCAGGTTACTTAACTACTGGGTTAGTTAAGTGCAACTTCTTATCGGGCCCAAGTGTCTGTTTCACTTGTTCGAAGAAGCGGAAATACGTTGATGTCATCCCAGTTTCTGGTAAACCACTGCTCACCTTGCTTATACCCCAGAGAACTTTCTACATGCCAGTAAGCAGGGTGGGCTACCGGTCAGTTTTTAACCCAGAAAGACAATTAACCAGCAGTTATCCTGTAGTACAAGGATGGGTCATTTGCAACACCCTACGCAGAGAACCCACCTGCACTCGCTGTGAAATGCACGCTGCAGATAGATTCCAAGAAAATAATGGTTTAGGCAGAAAGGCAAGTAAGAAAGAAGTACCTTTTTGCCAGGTCAACATACAGAGTTCTCTGAGATAGTGTTATAATAGAATAATAATAACTGGACAGTTTTGTTGTCCTTAGTCAAGCAATGCTCTCCTTGACTTTAAAAGGTATTTGGATGTTATAAAGACCAACCATAATGATTTCCATTTATTAAACATCTCTGATCAGAGGATCTAAATTGAAAGGCAAGATAGGGAATAAACATGTGGCAAAGCTCTCATCCTGCATGCTCATACACATGTGCTTCGTCTTACACATTTGAGTAGTCCCACTGAAACCAAGGGGACTGCTCAAGTATTTAAAGTTAGTCTAGTGTGCAAGTGGCTGCAGGATCTGAGCCAATGGCTGTATGTCAGTGTATCGTTAGAACATCCTGCATTCAAAAGATTCACTTAAAAGCTGCTGGCTCCCCAGTGGTTTTTTCCCCCTCCACTGTTCACCTTCTCCTGCTGCTTATCCCCACACCGACACTCATAATCACCTGTTTGTGGCAAACCCATTGCCTACTGGGGAAATAATTCTGATGTTACAAACAGAAAATTATAACTTTGGGAGAGAAATAAGGAGCAGATGCTGATGAAGTCTGAAGCAATATCTATCTTACAATGTCCTTAACGAGGGAGGAGAACTGCAGAAAAATGTAAGACCTGTTTCTCACTCCTTTTTTCAAAATTATTTTGTTAGGAAGCAGCAGCAGCAGCAATTGAAGAATGGGCTTACATGTGCTAGTTCTGTTAGGAG